CCTGACTGATACCAGTCGGTTTCTCTCCAAGGTTTCAGAGCTGAAACGCACTGAAGGTCGACCCTGAGGCGAAACAGACCCGCTGTCCATGCCCTGGGTGGAACCCGCGTCTTCAGCCACATCTGCAGTGGGCGCATGCGGAGCAGGCCCAACTGGAGTACAGAGGCTGCTGAGGCCATCAGCCCCAGCATTTTCTGAAACCTTTTGAGCGGGACTATCGCGCCGTGGCGGAAGGATTTCACGCCGCGCTGAATATTTAGCACGCGCTCTGGTGACAGGCGTGCTGTCATGGACAGCGAGTCCAACACGGTTCCCAGAAAGGAAATTTTCTGACTGGGAGACAGTGAGCTCTTCGCCCAATTGACTGTGAGGCCCAGCTTCTCGAGGTGCTCGAGCAATGCGGCCCTGTGTTCTATGAGCTCCGATCGTGATCGAGCTAGAATCAGCCAATCGTCCAAGTAGTTCAGAACTCGCATGCCCTGAAGTCTCAGGGGCGCGAGCGCCGCGTCCATGCACTTCGTAAATGTACGAGGCGCTAGGGACAGGCCGAACGGCAGGACTGTGTATTGATATGCCTGGCCCTCGAAGGCGAATCTCAAAAATCGCCTGTGATGGGACGCTATTTGTATTTGGAAATAGGCGTCTTTCAGATCTATCGACATAAACCAGTCCCCGAAGCGCACCTGCGCGAGGATTTTCCTGGTCGTAAGCATTCTGAACTGGCGCTTCACAAGCACTCTGTTCAGCTGCCGCAGATCTAAAATGGGTCTGAGACCCCCATCCTTTTTCGGTACCAGAAAATATCTGCTGTATAGGCCCCCTTCGCTCTGAGCCTGAGATAAAGGTTCTATAGCCCCTTTGCTCAGTAGTTTCGCTATTTCGGCACGAAGTAGATGAGATACTTCGTTTTTCACCGTGGTTTCGACGCGCGCCGTATAACGGCGCGGGCGTCGAGCGAATTGTAGCGAATAGCCTCTCTTTATAGTGTTCAGCACCCATTCTGAAACCCCGGGAAGCTTTGACCACGCATCTGCGTGAATAGCTAGAGGCAGAATGAAATCCAAAACGGCAGCTCGAGAGCCTGGGCATACTGGGAACACAACACCGTGTTTACAGCGTTCGAGGCGGGGGGCGCGCTGATCACAGCGGGCGACCTGGCCGCGCTCAGCTTTTTTATGGCAGATTGTGCAGAAAAAGCGAGCGGGGGAGATCCCGTGGGAATCGGCGTGTCTGTGAGAAAATGTGGGCGCGGGGCTGCGGGCACATTTAATACACTGAAAACACTGTCGTTCATGGCCGACTGAATGTGTGTTGGTTTCGTTTTTACAGAAACCATGGGACACGCAGCATGTAGTGTGAGCGGGCATGATGACATGGGCACTTGCACTACATTGTTTGCACAATCGACCGGAGTCGATTTTATTTGTGCTAGCCCTGCACCGTGGCGGGCTGTGTTTGTGTGTGGGAATGGGCACTGGGTGGGCATTCTTACAACACTCATAACACCTTCGGCCGTGGCCGGAACACCAGAAAATGCACTCTTTATTGGATTTATCTGGGTAGCCGTAAAAACGGCTTTTGTGCGCAGGCAAACGGGCTGTGACACCGGCTGACTCTCTGCGAAATACACTGGGACAGTCGCGATGTTTGGAACTGACCGAGCGAGAAGTTTTGGTGAAAAACCGGCCGCAGCGGGATCTGAACACCGTCGTTTTCCTAGAATGGCTAGGAAGATTTTGAGGCCTCGGGCTTGATCTCAATCCTCGGCCGGGGCCCGCGCTGAGGGGGGCGGCGTCCAGCAGAGCGAGAGCGCGGTCTTTGGTCTCGGGAGTGGCGGCGCTGTGAAGCGGCGGCGGCGGGCGGAGCAGGCTGCGGCTGAGAGCTGCGAGCAGGCGGCGGTTTAGAGCGACCTGCAGCGGAGCTCGAGCGCTTCGGGAGGAAGTGCTTCATGGCCTGCGAAGTCTTTTGCACCTCCATGAATCTATCCGCAAAGTCTGTGACGGCAGATCCGAAAAGGCCCGCTTGAGAAATGGGCGCGTCGAGGAACACAGAGCGCTCGGCTTCCGTCATCTCGGACAGCGTCAACCACAAATGTCTCTCAGCCACGGTGAGAGAGGCCATGTTTCGTCCTATGGCCTGTGCAGCGGCTTTAGTAGCGCGAAGAGCGAGGTCTGTAGCGCTTCTCAGGTCCGCGACGCAGATCGCTCCGGGTCCTTCCTCGTCCAGTTTAAGGAGAAGGTCGGCCTGGAAAATCTGCAGGATGGCCATAGTGTGCAGCGCTGAAACTGCTTGCCCGGCGGCGGTGTAAGCGCGACCGTGCATGGATGACGTCACCCGGCAGGCTTTAGATGGAAGCGTCGTGTGCGCGCGCCGTCCAGCGGAGGGCGGGCAGAGATGAGACGCTACAGCTGGTTCCACAGGAGGAACAGAAAGGTATCCTCTTTCCTTCGCGCCATCCACAGAGGAGAAAGCAGCAGAAGCAGAGGTACGAAGCCTGGCGGAGAAGGGGGCGTTCCACGATTTCGTAACTTCGTCGTGAAGTTCCGGGAGGAAGGGCGCGGGCCGCGATTTCGACGGAGCCTCGTCACTTCCGAGAAAGCGTCCGTCCATTCTGTTGCGCGGCGGCTGCGCGGGCGCCTCCCAATCGAGGCCGATGCTTTCAACGGCCTGAGAGAGCAGACGCATCAGCTCAGTCTCAATGCCGGCTCTCTTACCAGTGGTCTGGCGGGAAACGCTAGCGGAGGGGAGATCCACGGAGCTCGCCCAATCCTCACTATCGGACGCCAGAAGAGAACACGCCTCGGAGGGTTCGTCAGGCTCGTGGATGGACGCGGCGGCAGGCGGCGGCCGTTGTCCGTCAGTGAGCGACTCGAGCGAAGCCGGCGAAGCAGGCGGGCGAACCGGCGAGCTTTGGCGGGCTGGAGATAGCTCGGGAGCGCGCTGGGCGCGGCGCTTTTTACGGCGCGGCGTCACGGCGGGCTGTGGTGAAGGCTCGGAGAATGATGCCAGGCGCGTCCTCAGAGTCACCATGGGCAAAAGCTCGCAATGAGGGCATCCGCCGTCAGCGAGCGCGAGAGCCGCGTGATCCTCACCCAGACAGGAAACACAGATGACGTGTCGATCTCCATCGCTGAGCGGGGCGCGGCACGAGCCACAGGAAGGCATCTTTAAAAAGACGCTGCTCTTTTTGTGAGAGAAGTGTAAGTCGCGTCAAGTAAGCGAACAAACACTTCTCAACAGAGAAATACACACAGGGTATTGAAAGGATATATAACGCCGGAAAGCGCAGCAGGTACGGCAGATGAAGGCGGCGAGGCCAGCGACTCCAGAGCTCGTCCCGCTGAAAGGCTTGCTTCGACGGCGCGGCTTCTCACTCCGGATCCAGCGATGCGTGTGCTTCGCTGAAGAGGTAAAAATCAGCTTGTATCAGCCTAACGAGCATATTTATAGGGCGAGACCACGCCCCTTCTGGCGGGACGTGACGATATGGGCGCGAATTGCCCCCATTGGTCATTACGTCACGCAGAGTCTCTCTCGATAGGCTGCTGCATTTGCTGCAGAGCAACCAATAGGCGCGCGAGCTGTTTCGCCTATGTTTGCTTGCTGCTGCAAAGCGTTTTGCATTAATAAAAAATTAAAGGATAATTTTTGGCTTCAATATCTCGCGGAAAAGAGTTTTTCCCCTAGCGTAAGCTATTACGCAGTACGAGAGATACTCTCGTAAGAGAACCCACACGGGCCCCCAGGCAGTTAGCCCATGCGGGGCACATAGCTGTTTTTCACTATGGGGCCCCCACGAGGGTTTACTGTGGGCAACCCACCATAACAGTACATTGTTTTAAGTTGTTTAACAGTCATATGTTTTAAGATTAAAAGGTTTAAGATTAGAAGCTTAATCAAACTATTTAACGATCCCATGAAATGTCATAAATGTTATTTTATTCAACAGTCCATAATTAACTAAAACGGCATATAATGGATTATGAGCATGTGCATTTAAAATAACAAATTTGTGACTTATAAGGAATTATAAAAAATAATATGTAACTATATATTGTAATGCAGTAGGTCTTAATGAGTCTTTATAAATATATTTATAGAATAGTAATATTGCTCATAAATAAGTATAAATGGTGCTATAATTGATTATAAGCATGGACTGCATAGAAAGTGTTACGTATTTATTAAATAAAATTAACTTATTTGTCACAATAAAAACAATGGAAATGGTTTACTGATTTGTTTTGGTATTCATTAGTGATGTATATTTATTATAATAAAATTATTTATTATTGATACTAATAAATACATCACTGATGTAACGACTGAGACCAATCAGAGACAATTATTTGTTATGGTTAACAAATACCTCACTCTGGGACTTGGGGCCCCATCCCCCTTACGGGGATTTACCTCTATAAATTGGTACTTTGAAGATCGAAATGATTGTGTACATCGTAATTACTTGGTAATTTTATGACTTACTGGCAACGTAACTACATCGCATGCCCGTAATTTCATTACCATCATATTACCAACCCACGTCGTCAGTACGTCCTCCTAAGGTTATAATATAACCAACAACGTCGCAGATACGTAGCCTACTCTAATCGTAATAACTTGGTAATTTTATGACTTGCTGGCAACGAAACTGCAACGTCACGGGCCCGTAATTTCATTACCATCTTTCATTTAAAGCAGTGCTTTCATATTCTCTTTTAATGTAAAAAAAAAATATATATATATATAAAAAAAAAAAAATTACATGGGTCATACAAAATGATGGGTCATACAGAACTACAAAATGATTTTTAAATTCATGATTTAAAATTAATGATATTTTAAATTGTTAAATGTTTTAATTCTAGATGTTTATTTAAATGCTGCGTGCCTTTTGAATTGTTCTATGGTTTCAATGCGCGTGCGCGTAAACATTTGCATTCAAAGCTGTCTGATTCAAAGACGCACGCACGCGATCAGATGGAAACCATGGAAACGAGGGAACCTCATCAACTGACAAACAGCAAAACTAGCGTCTCTCCCTGTTGTTTTCACTGCTTTCAGGTAAGTTTAGTTAACAAAATCACACAAATAATACATACAAACGTTCCTGACACATTTATTACGTATAATTGATACGCTTCTGTTGAATATTTACTTTATTGAAATGGTTTTGTGTCTTCGAAAAAGTCCGTTAGCATCTCAACCGTTTTCAGAAGTGTAGCAGCTAAGTTAAGTTAACGTTACACTTGAGCTCTTGTTTTACCTAAGTTTGGGGTTTTAACCACATCTTTGTGTTGATAACAGTTTTTGATAGTTTTGTTTTGCTGGTAATTTGTCAATGGGTGATTGTAACCTGAAAGAATTCACTGTAACGTACTGTTAATCAGTGACGTCACTTACAAATATTGATAATAAAAGTGATTTCAGGAGGGACAGAAAAAAACCCCTCCACAACAAAGGGGGAATTATTGTTTAATCATGATAATAATTTCATATGCATTTATTGCACAATATATATTGCCTTAAGATTATATATATATATATATATATATATATATATATATATATATATTCTTTATCTTTTCTGCATTTCATCTCTAGCTTGCTTCCTTGTAATGAACCCTATGTTCTATTGTAAATCCTATGTAACATTGTTGGCTCTGTGACACATTGCATGTTATGTTCTAGAAGATCATCATGCTGATGGCCTGCTGCACCCCGTCCAAGACAATCTCCACGGCTATGAACTCGACTAGTAAGCAAAACCTCAAACATACTGTTCAAAAGTTGGGGGTCTGTAGGATTTATGCTTTTTAATGAAGTCTCACACTTTAAATTCATTAACCCCAGTTTTTTTCAGTGATATTGTCCTTGAGAAGCCTGTAGGCTAAATAGGCGGCAAATATAATGTTATAATGGTCATAGTTATAATAATTAATTTAACTATTATGATAACAGGATATCATGGTCACTGGTATATATATATATATATTTTTTTTCTCTAGGTGTGTTTTTAATTATGTTGGCCAATGAGACAGACACCATACTGTCCAACTCAAAGGTATTTATTTATTTTTATGTATGAATAAGGGTCTTATCTAGCGAAACGATCGGTCATTTCAAAAATAAATAAAAAAGTTAAAGTGTTATAGGCACAAATGCTCGCCTTGCGAACTCTCCTGTTCGAACTCGTTCATCAAAATGAACGAATCTTTTTTCGAGTCACTCGAAAAAAGATTTGTTCATTTTGATGAACGAGTTCGAACAGGAGAGTTCGCAAGGCGAGCATTTGTGCCTATAACACTTTAACTTTTTTATTTATTTTTTAAATGACCGATCGTTTCGCTAGATAAGACCCTTATTCATCGTCTGGTATCGTTTAAAGCCCTTTGAAGCTGCACTGAAACTGTCATTTAGACCTTGAACCGTTTGGTGCCCAGCAAAGTGCATTATATGGAGAAAAATCCTGGAATGTTTTCATCAAAAACATTAATTTCTTTTCGACTGAAGAAAGAAAGACATGGACATCTTGGATGACATGGGGGTGAGTAAATTATCAGCAAAAGTTTTTTTAAAAGTGAACTAATCCTTTAAAGGAGCTGTATGTAAGATTGTGGCCAAAACCGGTACTGCAATCACTTTCAAATTACTGTAGAGCGGTGTACCCCCTCCCCCTCCCTCCTGACTCGAGGTTGCCAGATCGGCTGCATTTTTTTATCCGACACATGTGTAGCTGCAGCTGTGGTAACTAGAGCAGAGCTGGCAACCCGGATGGCGCAACACTACTGACTTCGTGATTGGTAGATAGGTGGAGGGTGGAGCATCAGACCAAAACACAACATGACAACATCAACATCAGTTGAGGGCTGCAACTTCACTTTTTAAATGACTATATCCTGGCCGGACTACTGTTGTCAGTGATATAAGTATTTGAAATGAACATGATTTCTCAATGTCTAGTGACATATCAGGGCCATTTTATGATTAATTCAAATAAATTTCTTACATACAGCTCCTTTAATCATTAACTAAGCAATTGTAAATGACTTATAACTGAATCTACAAAACATGCATACAATAATTAACATATCACGTATTAAACATAAAAAATTAGTTAATCATTTACTAATCACTTGTAAATGACTTGTAACAGAATTTACAAAACATACATAAAATGTTAGTATATCACTTGCTAATCATTTATGAATGTTTTGTAAACGCTTAGTTCATCATTAACTAACCACTAAATGACTTACAACTGAACGTTATTATAAACCGCAGCTCTCTCATTGCCCTATTCAGTCATTCTCTCAGTTGAGCATTTATAAATAGCACCTGGAACAATCAGAAGACGTTTCCTCATTCAAAGTGCAGGTTGAAAACTTTCTTAGGTTAAAATGGCTTAACAGTACAACCCTTATTTTGTTTTTAACATTTGTATTTTGATCCTTTCTCACTTAGATGCTGTGACAAAAATCAGTCAAGCCACTGCATGTGAGGTGGAAGCCTCTATAAAGACATGGCTCCGTGATGCCAGGGACAGAGATGGGGGAAGGCAAGGAAGGGCCAGAACTGCAGAAATACCTACTGGTGCCCCTGAGGGGATTGCTTTTTAATTTACTTTGACGTGTTTTAAGTGTTCTGTGTTTCTTTTTTTGTGGTTATTGCTGTTTTAAACTGTATTATTATTAATTATAATTATTATTAAATATAAATAAATTATTTGGGGAAAAAAACATGACCCTCGATTTATTGCTGCTAACAAGTGCAATTGTACTGCATATAGTAATATGGGTGTACCTACTCTGTGTGCTCAAACTTTGCACCTGCACCCACAGTGTGCCCACATCCAGCCCACATGAGGGCCTGCTCTAATTTGTGTGGGCCAGCCCAAAGTCAGCCCACACTTTGGGCTGTCCCACTGGGGCCCCACCTGGGTCCCAAAGTGTGGGGCCCACACATGCCCCGCATTTCACGCCGGTATCTGGGCCCACAGTGGGCTGCCCGCAATGGCCCCACATGGGCCCCTATAAGGGTTTGCTGTGGGCCCACAACTGGCCCCAATGGGGCCCACTCTACTTACTGTGGGCCTGCCCACAGTCAGCCCACACTCTTGGGCTGTCCCACTGGGGCCCCACCTGGGTCCCAAAGTGTGGGGCCCACACGTGCCCCGCATTTCACGCCGGTATCTGGGCCCACAGTGGGCTGCCCGCAATGGCCCCACATGGGCCCCTATAAGGGTTTGCTGTGGGCCCACAACTGGCCCCAATGGGGCCCACTCTCTCTACTTACTGTGGGCCTGCCCACAGTCAGCCCACACTTTTGGGCTGTCCCACTGGGGCCCCACCTGGGTCCCAAAGTGTGGGACCCACACGTGCCCCGCATTTCACGCCGGTATCTGGGCCCACAGTGGGCTGCCCGCAAGGGCCCCATTCGGGCCCTAAAGAAGCATGTTTGCTGTGTTGTTGACGAAGACCAGAGCAACTAGAGCAGGGGTCGGGAACCTTTTTTGTCCAAAGAGCCATTTTTTCATTTTTGGTTAATGCATTTTTCCAAAAGAGCCACAGTAAAAAAAAATATATATATATTATTATTAAAGACGTGCTTTTTTCAATAAAATTTCAACAGAAGTAATTATTAGGTCCATAGACAATTAAAAACAAACAAATATTCAGCAAACAATAAAGTTTCAACATGTATTAATTGTGAAGGGCTTTCACTGTGAGATTGAGTTACCAACTGATGAGCATAAATCCTCTCTGTGTGTGTGAGAGAGAGAGAGAGAGAGAGAGAGAGAGAGAGAGAGAGAGAGAGAGAGAGAATGCACACAGTAGCCTACTTACATCTACTGTGTTTACGTGAATACTCGACTTGGCATTTCGATATATTTCTGTTTATTTGGCCGTCTACTATGCTGTGTTAGCTTGTCCGTGTTGCGCTCGGAGCGCACAGCATCCTGCCAGTAGAATTCCGTTCTCTTTCCCGGCTTATCGCGCTTTTAATATTTCTTTTCAATATAAAGCACATCCTGCTCTTTTTTTCTCTCATTCGTTCATGTTTTGTTATTAATTACTTTAAACAGAATCGTCAACTGAAATCTGCATGGATTATCAAAAATACGACACATTTATCATGTGTCATAAAGGGTCTCTGCGGCGAAAGTGAAAGTACCAGCGGGTGAAATGTTTCGAAATGTCTCTGCACAGCAAAGCACCGGTTTCAATAAAATGATATATTAAAGTTTATATAGCCTTATTTTACATTTTTTGCTGCTTTTCGCCATTAGGCCTACCTTAAACAACCTGCAGCTGCTTGAATCCCAGTGCAGGAGCTGTACAGTAGGTTACCACAGAGACGTAAGTGGTTTTTGATTGCTCTGATGACTCGTGACACTCGCGACCAGCACTGAATACGCACTTTTGCCGGTACAACATGAATATAATATTATCATAAACTTTTCATTAACTTTGGTAGGCTGTAGGCCTACAAGGGAATTGTAATTGGCTGATTTTTCGGCAGAGAGCCGATCTCTATTGATGTTTTAATTTTTTTTATCGCTCGTTTGTTGGTTGAGAGTGAGAGACCTCGCGAGCCACATGATTTTTGCCAAAGAGCCAGATGTGGCTCGCGAGCCATAGGTTCCCGACCCCTGAACTAGAGCAAGCCATTCATTCATAAAAATTAATTTACAACAATTGAGGATGCATTAAGTTTTTTGTGATGATTGTCTGGGTCCTTATATATGCAGAAAAGATGATAAAGGCACAAAAGCTGTTTTTATGTTTCATTCATTAACTTCATTGTTACTTCCCTGTGTACATGTTATCAGCTTTTTCTACCATGAACGGGATTATAATCGGTTTCCCTCAATACCTCATCATACTCAGGGATTCCCCTTCCGTCGGGACAAAGCGCTTAACGTAGTTTAATGGACTAATACAGTGATATAAAAGACCAAACTCGCACCTTATTGGGGAAGTATGCCTACATATATGAAGAAATAATCAGGAACATCCAAGGCACTCTCTTTAGAAAAGTTAAAAAGCCTTTAATACTATGGCTTGGTCATAATCAACACTATTAAAACATTCCGACGCGTTTCGGCATACAAGCCTTCGTCCGGGAGTCACATATATGTAGCCTACTGCATTAGATAACTGGGAAGGGTCATAGCACTTTCATATTGTTGACCTATATTGTTAGTTTAACTGTAAAGTCGCTTTGGATAAAAGCGTCTACTAAATGACTAAATGTAAAATTGGCTTGACATCATGCTTGACATTCGCACATTTAGGGACCGTCTCTAAAGTAACATTGGTAGTCCTATAGGCCTAAACGTTTCTAACTTCAATAGCAAACTTCAATTTATTTGTATAAATTGCACATGCCTGTGTTGTGGCAAAAATTCATCTCAAACAGACATCACTGCGTAAGAGACACTCAGAGTCAAATTATATAAAATAGAAGTATTTATTCTTGCAAGAATAGGAGCAGTCTAATACACAGTTGTTACCCTGTGCAGAAGAGTGACACACCCCCAGACAGACTGAACTAGCTTTTATCTTAGTTTCAAGGCCTTCTTCCCCCCAGAGCCTTCCTCCCAGTAGTTTTCCATAGACGTCACTAGTTGGCCCACTAAGCTCCCCTGCACCAAAATGGCCTTCTGACATCTAGGTCAGAGGTCCTTGTTCGTCTGTTCTCTGGAGTGTCTCCCTCTTCTGCCTCCCCAGGTACATAAACAGAATCTTCTCTCACTACAAGTGAGAGACACACATGTGACATTCTTTGAATCATCTATATTTTACTAAAGATCAATGAATATCATTAAAATTGCCACTACAACTCCTCACTTTTTATCATTCTGATTACCCATAATCACAATAATAAACAATAAAACAAATTTTAAGTCATATCATCACACTTATACTCTTCATCTCTGATTTTTTGCATAAATGATCACTCTCCTTGAACCTGTGAAGAAAAGTTTAGAATGAAGAAGCATAAGGCTGTTTTTGTGGGGGAAAGGCCCCGTAATATTTTAGCTAGCAAGTAAACATTTTTACG